GGATCTGAGGTGTTGTAGGACCATCATGTCAGCCTCTGCTTTGCTGCTGCTTCGGCTGCCATTGAAACGGGGAGGGGGGGCATGGTATTTGGGAGGGGACTGATGGTTGTGCTGGAGGAAGATTCTGGAGTTTGAACTGTCCACCTTACTGCGCATGTGGAGGAGGGGTTCCCGCCAAGGCCAACGGCACCAGCATTCCATCCTGGTGATGCCTTTCGAAGTTATCTCACACCTGACACTTGGAAGAATTATTATTGGACTGTGCATGGGATGCCAAGGGGAGGGGAATGAATTATACAATATATTATTTGCTTTCGCGCCTAAATAATCAGACTTCACTTTGTTTCACTTCTATTCATTTATAATTAGTAAAAGTACACTTGATTTCTATCAATGGAGCCTTGTGGTCTTCTTTCCTGATTATCGAATGAAGGAGTGCTGACATACAGTCTCTCATTATTATGACTTTTAGCTGGGTGAAAATATGCATCATAGGACTTTGTTTTGAACCAAGGTACCTCAAATGGACTATCTTTTAGAATGTTCCCAAAATCTGGGGGGAAAGAACTTTGGGAAAGTTGAGGATGCTTCAGTGTTACAGGTTTCAATGCTGGGCAGTGGTGGGTTCCAGATACCGATGCAACCAATACAGTGCAACTGGGCTAGGCATCCACCACATGCACGCGTGCACATACATACTTACTGCCTGTGATGCTCCAGCTGCTCGGCGCAGGTGCCGTATGCTCCATGAGCATGTGCGGAAGCCCCAATCGGCTCAAATATTGGTAAGGAGGACGGGAGGGTGGGTGGGCCCTTCGGAGCCCCATACTGGAATGGTACCTGGTGCTCCCAGCAGGCACCAGTATGCCTGTACCAGGGTGTACCAGTCGTATTCCACCACTGATGGTGGTCCACTACTATGATCACGTGATCTTCATTTTCAATGTTCCATGACATCTCAGTCAGTTTTTTAATCTCTCTCTCCCTTCTCTACCCAACAGCAGCCATATGCATGCCTGCTGGAAAGGAAAGGAATTCAGTCCAAAGTTTGTTGCTAAGTGAGACATTTGCTAAGTGAGTTTTGCCCCATTTTATGATCTTGTTTGCCACAATTGTTAAGTGAATCACTGCAGATATTAAGTTAGTAACATGGTTGTTAAGTGAATCTGACTTCCCCATTGACTTTGCTTGTCAGAAGGTGATCACATGGCCCCAGGACACTGCAACCGTCATAAGTATGAGTCATTTGCCAAGCATCTGGATTTGATCAAATGATCGCAGAGATGCCTGCAATGGCTGTAAGTGTGAAAAATGGTCATAAGTACTTTTTCAGTGCCATTGTAACTTTGAATTGTCACTAAACAAACTGTTGTAAGTCGAGAATTAACTGTATTTTACCAGATATAGAACAACTGTGAATTAAGGTTTCAAAACATATTCGTCTCTTACCTGCTGGTTTACGGGAAAATTCCTGTTGATTTTTTTAATCTATAAAAGGAAAAAGAAAAATGGATTAATAAATAAGCTGTTTCAATTATGATTCAGTCACATAAAACAAAGTGGCATTATTACATATTTCCTCTGTGAAACTGATATATATTAACAGGTTGTTCATTTTAAAAATAACTTTAAGGTGTGTAAAGGGCAGAAGGAATGACCTTGGGGAACGGGAAAGAGCTACATTCAAGACAACAGTGAGATGAAAGGTATCTGAGTCTGGACCAAAATTGAAACTTGAATAAGTGTCTAAAGACCGCCATCAACCTCTGTTCTTGTGAAGCCAAGGGGGAAGTTCATTTAGACTTGGAACACTCAGTTCTTATGATCTTATAATAAAAATTAATATGCACATGCTTGGCTTCCTACTCTGGTCTATCTTGATGGATTGACAAAGTGTCATTCTTGAATTTTGTACTTAAATGTCCTCTTATCAAATATAACATTATTATTGTGCATATTGTTATTATTCTACTAAAATATCATTTCAGTTTAGTTGATTTTATATGAATTTAATTTTGTAAATATCTTTTAAATAATCTTTTTTATAAACATCATATTTTGTGTGGCAATATTCAGAAGAAAATTTATATTTTCATTCAGAGAAAAAGTAAAATAGATTGAGAGGTAAATACTGAATAGATGAATGCTAACAAAATGCTATCACATAAAAGATGTGACCCAGCTTCACACTTCCAGAAACTATTAAAAAAAGAAAAAATAACAAATCTCCAAAGGATGCTATTCATCTGACTTTTGAAATATAAAATAGATCTGAACTCATTCTAGGTCAATATGTATTTTCTATACCGTCTCTATTAAGCTCATAATGCAATTCTACTCCACATTATTCTCTGGTTAAAATATACTTTCTTGGAGAAAACTGTAAAATGCTTCTAAACACATTCACCTTAGGCCCTTCCAGAGAAAGGCAGATAGAGCAAAAACAGATAGAGCAAAACAGAACTAAGAAAACAAAGTAAACAACTCAAATATATAACAAAAAAATAAGAGACACTAAACTGCACCTAACTCTACATATCTTTAGACGATTGCCTGTTTCTAAATATCCAGTTTTTGTACAAAGATTAGGGGGGGGGGAGATGTTTCTTACATAGAACAATCCAGATTAGTAAACCACATATCTCTGTGTGATATAAGTCAAAAAGACAAAAGCAAAATATGCCTCAAATAACCTTGTTATCTTCTGCAACCCATTATTACATAAAAGATGGAAAACAATTTTTAGTATTGCTTTAATTTAGATATCTTCTTCTTAGTTAGTTTACACACACACACATAGGTTTACAAGTGTATAATTGATCTGGCAATAGTTTATGAGAGTACCTTTTTAAAATAGATCATATAACACCACGAAAATGAACTTTTTCCTAGAAATTTATGATTGTTCTTAGACTTTATATAGTTAGGAGCTTAATAAATGCTTTGAGGAAAAGTTTTCAAGTTCCAAGGACAACTATAAAATGGTCATTTATTTAATGGTTAAGCATGAACATTTATTTCTACAATTAAAGTTAAGTAACAGTTCTTTCCCAGAAAAAAAGAATGTGCAGTGGCCAACTTGAACATTCCCTTAGAAATGCTATTTTTAAAACCTAAACATTAAAAACAACAAAAACAAATTATTCTGTTTAAATGCTTTGATTATAGGTCTGTGTGTGAGGAGGTCTTGGCTGTTGAAAGAAGTACCTGCACTTCATTCTTTTTTCAGAGCCGCCTTCTTATCGTGGGGAGAAATCAGGGGGAGAGGGAGAGAGGGAAGAGAAAACCGAGCTTCTGCTAGGGATGGACTTCTCCTCGCTCTCTCCTCCGGATTTCTCCCCGGTAGCGCTCGTGGAGGAAGGAGGCAGGGATGCTGGCTGGCGCTTGCTTCCCTTACTGCTCGCCACCACTGCCCCTGAGGCCTGCTGGCTGCAACCCCATCGGCTGCAGCCCCACCTGCCCTGCTTAGCTGGGTGGCTGGCCGGGAAAGCGGCAAGCGTCGGCAAACATCCCTGCCTCATTCCTCTGAGAGCCATAGAAGCGTGGAAAAAGAAAATTTTGCCAGTCTCCCAGCTGATCTGTCCCATCCAGCCCCCCCCTTACACATACACCTTGTACTACGACAAGCACGGTATGTGTATGTGTGTGTGAGAGAGACGCGTGTTTCTTCCGTGGTGTACCCAACACCTTTGGACACCCACCAGGTCACCTGCTGAGCGGCATAGAAATTGGGCTTCAGCAAAAGAAAAAAAAAGCCATTTGAAATTAGTCCTCTCTGCCGCTCTGCTAAAAAGGCAGGAACCGCAGCCAGGAGATAACAGGGCGACTAACCATATTCGGTTAACCCCCAGAGCAGGAAGAGGCTGAATTGGGGGCTCTGTGAGTTGCTTTGTAGGACACGAATGGCCGTGATCATAGGATTTGTTGGGTGTTGGTTTTAGTTCATAGAATATATCTATGAATAAAACTGGAAGGGATGTTTGTATATGAGAGGGGGGGAGAGAGAGAATAAGAGAAAGAGTAAGAGAGAAAAAAAGAGAAAGGAAGGAAAGAAGGTAGAGAGAGAAAAAAGAGAGAGAGACAAAGATAGAAAAGGAAAGAAAGAGAGAAAGAAAGAAAAAAAGAAAGAAAGAAAGAAAGAAAGAAAGAAAGAAAGAGAACTTATGATCACAATTGAGCCCAAAATTTTGGTTGCTAAGCAAAAATGTTGTTAAGTGAGTTTCACCACATTTTACAAGTTGGCCACACCTACCCAGTCACATGACCACCAAGCCACACCCACAAAATAGGCCATGCCCACAGAATAGGTATACACACACACATATACATACATACATATATATGTTTGTGTGTTTGTGTGTGTGTTAGTGTGTATATATGTATATGTTTGTATTCTATTTGTGCTGATAAATAATGGAAGCAGTTAGCTTCCTCCCATAATTGGGGCATACTAGGGGTTGTGACACTAAATGTATATGTTTGTATATATACACAGTATATTTGTGTGTTTGTGTATTATATGTGTGTGTGCGCGCGCACACACACACACACACACACACACACACACACACACACACACAGAGCTACATAAATACTTAGACCTAGCTCATGGTCCTGGCAGTTGATTGATACCCTTCTTGTTTTCTATAATACAATAATTGTGTGTTCCACACATTGCTTCTTGATTTCTCATCTACTTGTTTTATTCCTCCTTTTCTCTTGTATGTACTCAAGACTTTTGCAGGTTAAGGGCCTGGGTGGGTTGAGTCTGCCTGTGGACATCGGCATGTTTCCCAAAATGCTGGTATGGTTCAATTAGCCAGACATCTACAATAGCACCTTGCATGCTTGTGATTGAACTGTGAGTTGGTAGCGGGAATGATTGACTGACTGACTGACTATATCTTCTGTCAAGTTTCTGAGATTGTAAACTTTTACTGTCCTTTGAGAGAAGCAATGAGCTGAAGATATCCTTGGGTAGGTGGGAGTGGGAAGCATTTCTTCCTGCCTTCAGCTGCTTTTCTCAACTGCAGACCAACAACCCCAGTTTTATTTCCTTATATGCCTCCACCCTTTCAGAAAGGCAACATTATTTTCTTCTTGCCTCTAACATTCTTTTATCTGTACAGGTAACTGACAATCTTCAGCTGTTTCCTACCTTGCCACATTCATAACAGAACCTATTCTCCCTGTGGTTTGTTTGATCTCCCTTGATGGGAAAAATGTTGCCTTTCCTCAGGTACTTCCTTTTTTCTTTCCTTTTTCAATCTCACTGCCTCTGTGTAGTCCTTCCAGGTACATTGTTAAATGTAGTGTTGAAGATCTTGCTGTGAAGAAGAATCCTTTCCTCAGAGCATGGCACTGACAAGATGTGAGATGTTGAAGGAAGGTAGAAATTAATTTAAAATGACAAACCTACGACAGTGGGGGCACATCTATCTGCTTCATGCAGCATCACAGCTTGCAACTATATTTTGTGCCAAGATTGTTTCATACTGAAAATCCTTAGGCTAATGATTGAGAAATATACAAATGCCTACATTTTAATATCAATTGATATTGGTTTTATTGCAATAATTGTGAGGCTAAGTAAAAACTTTACTAAAATGTTTGTTCTTTCACAAACATAAATAATAATTAAGATAAGCTATTAGACTACATATACAGATATACATCTGATTACATTTGATATTTTACAATAACTTTCCTTTTGCTTTAAAATAAGCATTTAATCTTTCACCCATACTAATAATTGATCAAAATGGAAGGCATTTTAGGTTTAAATTTTTAAGGCACTTCATAATATATATGAAGATACATTCTTGGGCTGCAAAACTAATCAGAGATAGATTGGAGATAAACAATTTCTACATACATTATGCACAATATCTTTGCTATGGCTAGTCATAACAGTGCCTAGTATGTCAGTACTATCTACATTTGGAAGTCTGCACTGAGGTAAACTCTTTTGGCTTGCATTCATATCATACCTGCAGAGGAATTTGTAAGCTTCTTAGAAATGAGTATGGAAATGAAATAATATAGAAGATAGAAAATCAGAGACTGACAGCCAGCCTCCCTCTGATGTCACGATCTAGTACTTCATTGCCTTTACTGTCTATCCTGAGGTTGCTGCAATTCTTTCTCTCTATTCTACACTTCTTTGAGATTCAGCTGTCCAGATTATCTACCATTCAGTCTAGATGAAAGTACCACTATGATTTTGTGCTGCTTATCTTTTAAAAATAACAGCAGCTTCTGGAATCATGTAGCTGAACAATAGAGAGAAGAAATGTCCCATCTTTGACAAACTTTTCTTATCCTATTATTTTTTGATCCTCATTAGAAATGAAAATGCTGTGAAGTAAAACAGCATCAGCTGGCAGATAATCACTCACCATGGCTCTGTACATCAGCAAGCTAAAATATTATCTGAGTCAAGCTAAGTGGTAATTTATAAACTTTATCCCAGACCAATATGTTGGCAT